CCCCAAAACCCCAAAACCCCAAAACCCCAATCACAGTCGGCTCTATTGAACTTTTGAATTATTTTCTAAACTTAATGGCACTATATTACTCAAGAAGATCTTAAGGATAAATACTCATTTAAAGCCTATATGATCCATACTTATGACTCTAGGAAAATGATTCAGTATTTCCTAGTATTACTTCTATAAGTGAATCTCCGATTATTAGTAAACTTCGCCAAAATTTGAAACATAAATAGCAGGTCCTGTAGATTTTGAATTAAAATCTCTTCTGATATGATTTGAGAAGAGATTCAAGTACACCTAAAATTTTCTAGTCTTTACCAAAAATAGATTTAAGAGCTTTATTATTTTGATGTATGATAAAATAAAATTGTACTTAAAACTGTTAAGAACATGGAATCAGCCCAATAAGCTTTTACTTAATATTATAAGAAAGATTTTAGTTTGCTCGAATACAAACTTTTTGTATGAATATTTAAAGGGAGTCTCAAAAAAAATAGCTGCCTAGTATCCTACCACATAGATGGATTCTCATCAAACAGCTTCTGTACCTCACCTGGATTTACTGATTACAAATTTTAGAAAAGTAAGAGAATTGATGGATATTGCTCTATCTCTTGTAAGACAAAGTATAGTTTTTCACAGAGCAAGTGCAAATTTACAATTAAACACATTTTTAAACTAATAGGCTGACTATAATGCCTTCTATATGCTCTATATTCAATGATAAACGAGGTTTTCTCAAGACTGATCCCTTTTGCTTAATTTTGCAGCAAGATCATTACCAAAATGGCTAGATCAGCAATCAAGTTAAGTAAAATCTTTAGACAAGAATAAACCCAAAATGCGGCAAAGAGATAGGCTATCAAAATGAAATCTCGGCTGAAGAGATTGATCTCCAATATTTTAGTACCATTATCTTATTACAAAGAGCCTGTTGTGTTGGCAAGCAAGGAGTTATCCTGTGCTCTCTGTCTGCAGGCTTCACCAAAAGTGCCGATTTTAGAGAACCTCTTACAATTTATGGCCCTAGCACTTTCAAATACCTCCTTAACTCCGTTAGGAGTATTAACAGTAGGTGTCCTTGATGGGAGACTGGCCTTTCTCTGGCTATTCACTTGAATACTTTTAAGCTTAGTCTCTAGAAATTGGTCTAGAAAGGAAATCTCACAGTTCCTATTCCTTGGACTTTGGCCAGCCGCTTTTGGAGACGTCTCATTAATTGAGCTATCTCTTCTGTAGAATACTTGAAATTTTATCGGGTCTAGAAAAGTTTAAGTCATTTAAAATTACTCTTTGGGCTTTTCATTAAAATTTCATCCAGCTCTGTAATTTTAGATTCTGAATTGACAGGATACTTTTGACCAAATATTCTTCTGATTTGGCTAATTTTCCTTGATTTTTTCAGATCTTTTTGACGTCTAGAGGAGCTTATGGAGTTAGTTATAATTGATTTTAGTGGCAAAAAAGCCAAAAATTTGGGTAGATGCCATGAAATATTTGAAATGAATCATAATTGATTAATTCTTATGTTTCGAACACATTAATAAACAAATCATAACTGATATAATTCTGTGCTAACAAAACTCTGGCATTTTTCTATCATAAAATTTCTCTCTGAATGCTATAACTAATTAATTTATCTAATTTTAGCTATAATCTCTCACATGAAGATTCTGAGGAACCCATTGAGAAGCCCTACCATACTTCTAGCTAACTCAATAGCCTTAGATGATATATAAAGTTTAGGGGCCTAAATAATGTTACCTCATAGAAGCCTTTAATGTGTTGTGCCTCTTGTCTTTTCTCTTTTTCTACATATTTAAGAAACCAGCCTTACTTTGACAGCTTTAATGGGCTTGATAAAATTCCCTGAAAGATTAGATCCTTTCTCTTACAGATTGACTTTGAAGAAGTTTCCAATGATAGCTGCGATGAATCGTTGCTGGCTTCTGTATAGAAGAGTTAATTACCTTTATCTAAGAATTTATAAAAAGATTAGTAATCTTATGCCAGCAGAATACTGGAATAAACTCTTACTTAAATTTTTCACATTTGTGTGCATGGAAATATTAGCTTTATGTCTTTGATCAAAATTGAATTTGACTCTGATAGAATTTCTTCCCTTTCTTCAACCAGATACTTTATTTTCTAAATTTGTCTGGTCTATTTACATACCATGCGTTCCTCTTAGGCTAAATTCTCTCGCTTGATGTCGTTCTGGATGAGCTCTTGTGCTATTTCTTCATAAAACCTATCTGTTCTAGATACAAAATTGGATGACTCGAAAACCTTTTTCTTTGGCATGATCTGGGGAAGATTTTCTTTACTAATCTATAAAGATCATCCAGAGCCTTACAAGACCTGCCTTAAGGTAACTATCAGCTTTCTTGGATTCCCTGGCCATCAGCAGATCAATTGCCGAAGAAATTCTGTTATCTGAGTTCTCTCTAGTCGAGATCTTCCGACCAAGAGTGAAGGATTGGAGAATCCTGTGCTCTTTTATTTTGGAAACATCGTAGTTTCTCATGTAAGTCTTGAGTTCAGTCTTGTCAAGCCTGGAATCAATTAGAAGACAATATACCTTGCTCGAGGTAGAAATGTCTCTTTGAAATTTTTAGGCCTTTTATCAGGAGAATATCAGATAGGCTCTGTAGAGAAAAGAGGCTTTTCTCGACAAGAATTATCAAAGTAATCATCAAGCTGCCCTTTGACTGGCTTGAGGATATCTTTGAGCTCTATACAGGCGTATTTTAACAAATATTGAAGTTGTTTATAGCTGGTTTTATAACTAACATTGCCACCAAAATTTTTTGTAATTCACCGAACACTTTTTAATTATAAGGGAATCACTCAAATTTTATAATAGATATTAATGGTAAAGTTCGAATAGCTAATAAAAAGTTTTTCTAAAGAGACCATCGTGGGCCACAGTACAAATATTCTTGAACCACTAAATTCATAGTCTATCTAGACGCTTCAGGATCTTAAGCAAGGATATTAATCCATAAGTTAACCTTTAACACTGGATAATAGCCTTTCAGTTCAAGCTTGAAATTCTTAATGAATCTCGTTAAAATTATATGAGATAAAGAATCAACAATCTTGTTGTTAGTAAAATGGCAGAGAATTTGCCAAAGCCAACTCTGGTCTTGTATACTTAGACCAATAAATTTGACCATGAAAATTATAGATAAGTTCACACCATTTCAAGATTTCAAGAGCCTAATGCTGAAACCTTCCAATTATACAACCCCCACCAACATCCTCAATCAAATCAAACCCTAATAACCTACTTAACTGATTCACAGTGACTGGAGCCGCATCCTTTACTTCTACTTCACCCAAAATACTTCATCTCCTGAAAGAAGTCCCAGCATGATTTTTCCTTAAACCCCTCCTACCACCTTTCTTTCCTCTATTAACCCCAAATCTCCCCTCTCTTCCTCCATATTTCCCCTCCTCACGACTCCTCTCTTCCTGCTTCATCTTTAAAGTACCAATTTTCAATAATTTTTCAAAACAATGGGGTTTTGGGGTTTTGGGGTTTTGGGG